TGCATGCACTGTTGTTAGTCCAAGCGTGGATTATTGTTAGTATCACCGAGCTCTAGGGTACATATGCATATATGAAACAACCTTTAAGTGTTCTGTGAATCACTTTAAACATTAGTGTAGCCGGTTCGGTTAGTACTGTTGTCTGACCATGCGGCACCAAGTCAAAACTTTTGATTGGTTAATAAAGATTTCCACCGCAAGCGTAATATTGGGGGTGAAATGCTCGATTGTTGACTCAATATGCAAAAGGGACTAAATGTTGTTCAACAATATATATATATATATGGATTATCGGACGGATTCATTTGGTCTGGTCAATTACGGGTCACGGAATTTGGGATGACTACGCAATTTAAAGAGATACTGTTGTGTTCTACTAATTGAGTTTGGGAAGCTACGGTTTTGATTTTGAAATCTATAAGTTTACTTTGAGAACAACATTCTGTGGTTGGCTCTGCATACATATAGACCAAACGCTTTTTAGTGCAGAGGGCAAGGGTCACTTTTTACACTTCGATTGCCTCGTCGATTGCCAAAGCACTCAATGGGACTCGATTGTACTTGTGGAGTTGGAAGAAGTCCCTGTAAAATGACTTTGAAGGTAATCTCTGAATCGTTATGAAGTCCAGTGTAGACTACGCAACAATTTCGCTGAATTCCAGTATTTTGCATTGGATATGCAAAGATTCGAGAAAGAAGTAACGAGAAAACACGATTGTGTCGTCAAAACTGTCTTGTTCCCACTTCAGTGATGAGCCTTTTGTGGACGACCAAACAACTCAGAAAAATAATTACTTCTTATGAACTGGATAACGTATCACATAAATAAAAGGGGACATGCGAAAATCCGTGAGCTTGTTTGTGTGTGTGTGCTAAGTCTTGAACTCATTTAATCTACAGTCATTCGGGTCTATACGAATGTAATATAATTTCTCAATAAGAAGCAACACATACCTAAGTGAAATCCGAATCCTCAAGCAAATAATTGAGTTACATTTGCCCATACTGGAATAGCACACCGGTCAGATATATCTGAACTTTGCATCTGTTTTGTCTATAATGTTTCTAAGGATGAAAAAATCTGGGCTCATTTTGTGTAGCTTCTGTTGACTACTGGTTGGCTAATGACAAAGACGTACCACGACATGTCCGATCCTCCATTCTTCGCAGACCGGGACGACACGAACAGCTGTAACTGCCACCTTCAGGGATACATATTTCTCCATCTCGATCACAATAAACGCAATCGCAAGAATCTGAGATATTTTTGAGTAGAGGGGGATGAAAAATGCAGTCAACGGTGCGCAACAATCGAATCACCCCAAAGTGAAGGCCCTTGTGGTTATGAACCTCACCTACTAAACCGTGGCATAGATGTTTCGGTTGTGAGAGCTTCAGAACAGAGGAAGTTAGCTTCCCCAATAATCTAGTGATAATAGGCTTTGGAGGTATGAAAATAACTTACAATAAACAACCGTGTGCTATGAAACCGTGATTGTCTGAGTTCAGCGTTTCGTTTCGAATTCAAGTGAAACACCTAATCCACCGAATGCATATGGAGGAAAGGCAGTAGAGATATAGGCCTCGAAATGAGAACAGTTATACAAAATAATGTGAGTATCACTAGTCGAATGATAAGTAGCTTCGCCAGTAGGTTGAGTGGAATAAGATATGAGCGTTACCTTTCCAGAATTTCTGGTATATTTTTGTGTAATGTTTTGTGTTTGTGTGTGTGTATGGTATTTCCTTACAAGCGGTAGCACATTTGATTATTTGTTCATCTAATCTCTCAAGTTACACTCTGGATGAGAGAATATGGCCAGAGTACGACCGAATTCCACCACTCTGATGACATTAAATTTCGCATTACATTTCCCTTCGTTATTAGGTATGTTGCTGGGCTAATTCGATGGGTGAAATAAAGCTATAGAACGTATTCAGCGAAAAGCTACAAAGTACAGAAATTGTAGAATTATTACATCTGTAGGTACCGGTACAACACTAATTAATCGTGAACAGTTCTTCTCTGCCAACATTCCAGGGGATTTAGTGAACCACTCTATTGCTAAAATTATCATTGTTATTCCAGTCACAACCAAAACCACATTCAACTCATTACTACTCGCGAGTAGCGTAATTAGCTTATTGCTTTTCATTTGGAATGATCACTCTTTAGATTTAATTGTGACACGCGGTACTCAATTAATCGTTTCGGTAGTGCATTTTCATTAGGGTCATCTGGTATGTGAATTTCGGATTGCTTGGAGAGCCTTTGTGCAATATCGATTAAACTGGGCCTCGCCAGAATCTCCAATTCAGGCTTGTTCAAATATCATCTATAACAGTCAGTCCCTATATTGAGGCCAACAACAATGAGGTAAGACATCTACTTAAGCCCTCTGTTCACTTAAATAAGTGTAACCCTACTATGAAAGCAACCAAAATGTTAACAACATTAATTAAATCACCGTAGTTAATTATATTAAACAGTTTAACCAGTAATTGACAGTAAGCACTCAAATGATTGATGTCCAAAGATAGACAACAATTAGGGAGACATGATTCACTTTCAGAATTTGCAAACTACATATTTCTTCTACATTACACCAAACAGCACCAATTAACTTCTTGATTGCTCAGCATATTTTCTATAGGAAGCTGGAAAACCTCCAGAAGTGTTGCCTAAAACAGGGCCCATCAGCAATTACTGAATTGAAAATGGACGAAGATTGAATGTGACCCACACAGAACATTCATTTCTGGAAGGATTCATTTCAGATAAGTCGGTTTTAGACTACTTCTTTTGGTTTGAAGTCGAAATTGTTGAAAACGATCTATCTAGGCAGAAGTCCGTTGTCTGTCAAGATGCAGGATGGCGATACCAATCGATTCGTTGATAAGGAAATTGATCGATATTTCTAGTTTATTAAAGTGTTTTCACTGATAAGTGATGAGACTGAGTATAGATTCTTAAACTCAGAAATATTTTTCGTGAAATTGTACTGCTGTTTCGCTAGTTCTCTGTTGCGATTCATTGAACCGCCGGATTTGAAAAGGATTTATCTGTTTATGGGTTCTCATAAATAAACAATAACTCGTTCATTTATAAAAACTTACTGGGTTCATGTGCAAACAGTAGTGGTTCATCTACGCAGAACAGATTGCAAGAACCTTCGGTAGAAGAGCAATCTTCACTGCAGTATCCACGATCTCGTAAACGCATATAAAATCGTTTGTCCCTAGGTACAATCGTAGTTGACTGGAGCAAACAACCACCACTAGGATCCTCCCCAGCAGCAGGTTGCATCTGAGCAATTGCAGAAAAGCGGACAGTCAGCTCATCTTTGTTGACTTCCCGTCCATCTGTACTGCGTTGTTCTGCCATGAACTTCACTGACTGTTCTGGGAAAACAACACGACCGTACTGATCCACGTGGTAGGATGTGTAGTAACTTTTACCGCCTATTCCAGTTACTCCGTACGCTTCGCGATAAGCACGATCCACAAGAGTGATCGGTCCATCTGCAGTGACTTCCACATTCATTCTACCTCGCGAGAACGACCGGGATGTGTCGTCGTCCAGTTTAAATGTGGCACGCACAAACAGACGACCAACGTAGTCGATATCAAACACGAACTGCATGCCGAAAGTGGTTCGAAAAGCTCCTCCTAAGGTGAAAATGCTAAATTCTCTCTGTGTTGGATCTGCGGCAGCGGTGTTATTTGCACATGAACTGGATACCAGTGAATTCAAAATATGAAACATCGGTGTGAGAAGACGCAATGTATTGTATGTTGAATCATGTGCAATCCCCTGTCGAATTCCACTGGAACTTCTCTTGACTATCCCGTGCTGAATATCCAGATAGGTGACAAATCGTTTGGTCTCTTCTGCACTACTCAGACGAGCAGACAACGTTCCGTTGAAGGCAAATTTGTAATCGATATCTGTGCGGTTTAAAAAATAAGTGTTTCATAAAAATAGGAATGCATTGATTTTAAGTGAACTGAAAATAAGAGAACACTTCTGATCTTCTTTGAGTATACCTTTTTCAAAATGCCATCCAACAATAACAACAACAACAACAACAACAACAACAACAACAACAACAACAACAACAACAAATCAACCACATCACAACAAAATAAAAAAACCTCCAAACATTCCTCTAGCAATATAAAATCTCCCGTTTGAATAAATTTACCGTTCTTTGGATTTTTAAGACGAAAACAGGTGTATGACATATACGTTTTGATTTTTCATTATGAATGTAGCATTTCAGCGTAATAAAAAGCGTGAAGCAGTGTTTCACACAAATTTTAAGGATGCAAATTCTCGGGGTCTTGCATTTATTAAATGGAAAGAATAAGTGCATTGTCTGACTATGAATAGAAATGGCTGTTCATTCAGAGTGTTGGTCGCTACTTATCGTAAATCCCAGGGATTGGAGTTTCGGCTCCCAATTATAAGGTTTATAGTTGTAGTCTTGACAGAACACAAATTTATGAGTTAATTATGACAAGTTCCAACTATGAAGAATCATGGATTCAGTATATTTTTATTTGTTTTCACAGGAAGTGTTCATTTAATCTATAAAACACGTCAAAACTTGGGGAAATAAAGAATCCCCATGAAGTGAAAGATACACACAAATTTAGGGAACACATTAATTACCTCGTGATTGTGGAGCCTATCGCACCAATTCAAATACAACATGGGGAATTTCAGGGAGTATTGAAAATATGCGACGCAAAATTTGCAATTGCAGCCCTGCTTCTGAAATCTATACCTCTTGAAACACTTTGAAAGATGTTAAACTTTGCTTTGATTCAATCTAATGGGTGTGTGGCACTCCGAGAAGCACCCACAGCAATTCAAACATTCATAGATTTGTTTTACGTGCTTTGTGGACAGGTTTGATTAAATGCAAACTTGAACGAACAACATTATACAATATTCGTACAAAGACTAAATTCATTTAATGTCTATCCGATTATGCAAGTGAACTGGATTCCAATTACCTTCACGCCAACAGTGGTGATTCCCGCTACCGTAGAATCCTTCTCGGCACACACAACACGTATTCCCGTCAACACGATAGCAATCAGATTCCGCGCTGGCACACTCGACAGTAGTATCACAGCGTTCCGTACTGAAAACTCGTGGCTCCGGTCTCGGTGCCCAAGTTTCAGTTCCCGCGGTTCGATCTGGGGTGCTGTAGTACGATTCGGATGCCCGATCGTCTTCCAACGGAATATATGTCTCCGGAACGATAGGTGCTTTATTCAATAGGGTGAGTTGGATGTATAAGTGAGTTATATGTTGAACTGAAGCCAAGGAAGCCTAAATTAACTGAAGCAAATCATGTCGTAGAGGAAGGTAGTCAAATTGGGTTACAGTAAACTTATCGGAAGTGAACAGAATCAAACGAGAAGGCCAATATGTTTTCATCAAGTCATACCCAACCACTTCTTGGTTAAGGATTGGTTACATTTTAACAGAAGAGAGGTAGGTCCATTACAAACGTTTGTATACTTGACTACCAAAAAACAGTTACAATTATGTGCGCGCGAGCCCGGGCCACGTTTATCTGTTCTCCAGTCGGCTCTGACCTTTGAATATAAGCGCTTCACAATATACAGCGGATTTCTATCATTTATTTACACAGAAGAAAGAATTTGACATGAATAATTCTCAATTCAATATCATTTGGATTTAGCCTATGTCACAATCCATTTGATGTAACAACAACAAATGAAAAACCTAAAATGACCAGAAAACGAATGTATTTTATTAATCACCGTAGTGTTCATTTTGATACATATGTACCAAGATCGTGAATGAACAAGAATTCACGTGCCACATTGTTGCGGTTTGTCAAAATCACAACACGGATAATCTTTTTCATCTACGGTGAGCATGTAGCTCTGAAAATCATTGGAGCACTGGAGAACACTGGATTTTGAACCTGAGACTATAGTCTCTTTTTGCTTTTTACTAATCGCGATAGACAGCTGACTTCCTACTTTGAGATTAACAGAATTGTACGGAATGGTTCTATCTGAAAAAATCGGGGTCTTAATATTCCTAGTCATCGTTTACCGTTTACCATTGTGCATGGGCTCTAACTATTCGCTCTTCCCCCCTAATTGATCGTAAAATTCCGGAATGACGGTAAGGTAATCAGTTGCTCTGAGCAGACAGCGTAAAGAATCAGTTCTTTGTTTTAATTCTCTTTCTCTCATACACGCAAACCTAATTAGTTGTTCAAATGGCAGTGGAAATCTCTTGAAAAATAAAGATTGATTACTACAACTTTGTTTTTTCGCAATTGTAACATACTAACCGTTCTCTCCAGTAGCGTCGTTTTGTGCACAAACCGAACGTGTGTATCAGACAACAATACTGGAGTACTGTGACACCGATTTGAGATGTTCGATGCACTTTCGCCCAAAATCGTTACACGGATGTGCCAGAAACAAGACAAACTAGTATTTGATCCGTGACGGGGTATGCTAAGTGTATCGGAGTAAACGCCAAACTGCGACTGTAATTTGTTCACACTGATGGATTTGGCTGAGAAAATTCCTGTTGACTTGCCCACGAATAGGATTCGGTGGAGCCTTTGGTCGGGAGAAATTCTAATGTTCGTCAAGCAGTGTCCCATAACCAGTAATATTTAATCCGTTTTCCATACAAATGGCTGTTGTAAATAGGTTAAAGTTAATACGTACCTCTTAGCGTTGCACCTGACAGTGCAACCTTTCAATCAGTAAAGTGCTTTAGCAAATTTGTAAGTTTTTGAGAATGTGATGAAATAAAACATTTATCCATGGGAGTGTGTAATTATTAGTAAGTAAGAGGAGTAACAACACTTTTCCTGTAATGAACTTGAATATAGAAGAAAAATGCACGTTTGCACAATGTATCCTCAAAAAGTGGGCTGAATGTGTGCATACCAATTGAATGTTTCTAATTTGTCTCTAAAGCATTTGTCCTTATCGATCAATTGACCCCGGCAAGTTCTGTCGAGTTCCGGAACTGTTTTTATGACCTGGTTTATTAAAGGCATCAGTTTGGATGGAAATCATTGGAATATTTCATGAATCAAGAATTAATGGCTTTATTCTTCCACAAGATACTCCTGTCAGCTCATTCGTTCACAATTGAAAGCACTGTCGTTTGGTCTCAACGTAGTTGTTACACCAACGAAGTCCAACGATATCGACCAATAGGTGAAAATGGGAGATTGTCTTGGGAAATTCTCAGTCCGTAAGTGCGGATGCTCTGGGAGAGTTTTGAGGCGAAATTAGCGATCATAGAATGTTGCTGCCGAAAAACATCACTGCGGTACTGCAGTTGAAGGTAGTGAAGGTACTAAAATCGAAAGACTATGTGATTGTTATAAGCCAAGATAAGGGATACGGTGTCCTTGTGCTAGGAACTGTACTTTGTAAAGGAAAGATTTTGTAACTCCTAAATAATGACAAAAACAGCAATCGACTTGAGATAGAAACTCGACTCCATCAAAAACTAAAAATGCGGTTGCAAATAGGATTATTTCGGTGATCCGGAGATGTAAACTATCCAACTCTGACTTATGGCTTGCAAACATCACAAAGTATGCAATTCGCTGCATG